GCTCAGCGCCGAGCACTTTGAAATCAGGGCAAGTCTGTAACCTACAAACCGTCACCCAGCAGCCCCCGACAGCCCCTGCGTCGCTCACGGCCTCCTTCCATGGTGGCCTGAGTGCTTCCCCAGCGCCCAGCCCGGTCCACTTCCCCGGGGCGCCCTTTCCCCCCCAGCGCTGCCCGCACAGGCCGTGTGCACGGGGCTGAAGCCCCGTGGGCCAAGTGCCCACAGCTGTCCCCGGTAACAGGGTCATCCTGGGTCCTGCTGCGAGCCACGCCGGAGATACAGCAGGACACAGCAGCTCGGGGGCGGGGGGGCGGGATGGGGGCCGGTGGGCAGAAGCCGCCCTGCTGCCCAGACCGAGGGCCCAGCTCAAGCCTGCCCTGGACTGGGAAAGACGGGAGAGAGCCGGCCAGCTTGGGGGCAGTGAGAGGGGAGGGGAGGCGGGACGAGGGGCCACGATCCTTCTCCAGAAGCAGGCCTGCTGAGAGAACAGAGGACCTGTCTGTCTGTCCCTCCTGCTCTGGCCCGCACCCCGGCCAGGGAGCCAACATCCAAAGATGAATGCTCCCGCTGGCATTCGGGCCGGCACGGCACAGAGACCCCGTCCAGGCCTGCCCCTCCTCACAGCCCACAGGGACCTGAGTAAGGGGCTGGGCCCCCCACACAGGTTGTGACCGACGTGCTCGGGAGACAGACGACAGGAAGTGCTCGGCGTGGCTGGTGCTCACTGCTCAGAGCTGTGCCGGTCACCTGCGCTGCCCGACAGGCGGTCCAGGGACAGGACGGCTTAACAGAGTGACAGACGCGTGTGTTCGTTCACCAGGGCGGCCGTCACAGAGCACCAGAGACCCCGGCTCAAGCCGCAGAAGCATACTCCCTCACCTCCCCGAGGCCGGCCGCACCCTGAGATCCGGGTGTGGGCCGGGCTGGCTCCTCCGGAGGCCTCCCGCTGCGCCTGCCAGCTTCCCCGGTGAGCGCCCGAGAGAGCGCAAGATGGGGCCGCCGTGCACTCCGTGGCCTGGCCTGGGCGTCACACTGCCACGTCTGCCACACAGGCCAGCCGGGCCCGGTGTGCACCAGGGGTCCGCCACCTGGGAGGCTCCCTCAGCGAGCAGCAGCTCCTGGCTTCACACCTCGGGGCAAAGTTGAGGCCTGTGCGTTACCGGCACCACTTTACAGATGGGGAGACCGAGGTCCAGAGAGGCGGACGCCTTTGCCCACGGCTCAAAAGCGGTGAGGCAAAGCTGCCCTGGGCGGGCGAGGCCTCAGCCGCACCGCCTCCATTAATTCCATCTCTCGTTTCCACGGTGACCCACCTCCGGGCGCGTCCAACGGGCCCTTGTGGCCTACGGGCAGGTGGTTTCCGCCCTGAGGAGAGGAGCACCCTCTGGGCTCACGGAAGTAGACGGGGGGGGGCGGGGGGGGAGTCACAGCAGCAATGGGAGATGCTGGGAGGTGTTAGCGGGGCACGCTGCCACCCCAAAAAGGCTGGACTTGTGCAGCCAAAACCCAGCAGGGACAGGGCCGCTGGTCAGACATGTAGAGGTCGGCTGGAGCACCAGACCCCACAGGGATGCCCACAGGGGGTCGGGAGGAGGCGGGTCAGTGTGCGTGTCACCCAGCAGCCACCTGGGGGTGCTGGACTCACCCCGGGGCTCAGAGTCAGGCCTGACGAGCAACATTCTCTCCCCTTCTGTGAAGTGGGGGCAAGGCTGCTTGCTGTCAGGTGGTTACAAGGATTCGAAACGACGTGTTCCACTCAGACCATTTGGTAACAGACCCGCCCCAGAACCTAGTAGTGAAAAACACCAATATTTTCCCTCGGTCACAGAGTCTGCAGGCCGGGATCCGGACATGGCCCACACAGGCTTCTCTGCTCTGTACTGTCTGGGGTCTCGGCCCCAGCCCTGCGGCTCCCCCACCCACCCGCACTCCTGCCCTCACAGGGGCGATGCCCCCGGCCAGGTGCTCAGATGCACGGGGCACTGGAGCCCCCCAACGGTCTCTCCAAACGTGCACCCCACAAGACCACCACACGCCCCACGTGCTCCTCACAGAGACCCTGAGTGCCCTCCATGTAACACCCCACAGGCCACACACATGGCCCCCCACATGCCCCTGGCACATGGCCCATGTAACCTCACATGACCCATATGTCCCCCCGCAATGAATCCCTCCATATGGCCTCCCTCAATGCCCACAGTGTGGCCTGTGACCACCACCTCAGCCACATGACTCCCACGTGGCCATCTTACTAACCTCCCATGTGCTACCCACATGCTTGCTCCATGGAACCACCACAGACCCCTCCATATTTCCACTCTTACCTGCATTGCTACCATATGCCTGCCACATGGTGACTCCCACTGGACCCACATGCGCCCCACAAGCCCCTCCATACTGCCTCCCTTACGTGCTTCCAGCGTGGCCCACACGTGACCACCACGTGATCACAAGAGTCTCCTTTGCTCACAGGTCTGCTGCCTTTCCCGGACACTCGAAGGCGGTGCTCAAAGGGCTCGGCCCGGAGCCCCTCGCATGGCCTCCCCACATGCCCACCACATGCACCTCGCCCACCTGTCACGTGCCCCCCCCGCCCCCGCCATGGCCCAGTGTCTACCAGCACAGTAGCTGGGTGCTGGGAGGGAGCATTGGGACATTGAGGTGGGAGGTGTCTTCTGATCCAACCCTGGAGATGGCACAGGGTCCCCTGGGCCTCAGCACTTGGTGGCTAAGGCAGCCCGGAGCCAGGTGGCAGGAATTCCAGCCCATGCTGCGAGGTGACTGTGGGAGTGTGTATGAGGACCATGGAGACTGAGTCCCTCTAGGAGCTGGGGGGGGCTCGCTCAGGCCTCCGAACTGGGGCAAGCACGCCCTCTGGAGTCCCTGTGATGAGGCCCCCCTGCCCCCAGTACACACAACAGCAAACGTCAGTGTTACTGTGAGCTTTACATCATACTTCACCCCTGCCAAGGACGGGTGAGTTAAAACATGACCTGAAGGGTGACACCGCTCCTCCCCTTGTTTAAAGTGGGGAGCGGGGGGGGGGGCGCCTGGGTGGCTCAGTTGGTTGGGCGACCGCCTTCGGCTCAGGTCATGATCCCAGGGTCCTGGGATTGAGCCCTGCATCGGGCTCCCTGCTCCACGGGAAGCCTGCTTCTCCCTCTCCCACTCCCCCTGCTTGTGTTCCCTCTCTCGCTGTCTCTCTTGCTGTCAATTAAATAAATAAAATCTTTAAAAAAAAAAAATAAAGTGGGGAGCAGGGCCCAACAAACCTTACAAAGGCCAAAGGGTAGAGGTTCTCAGGTTTGTGGGCCATTGGGTCTCTTCTCGGGAGGCCACTCCATTCTACCATGGTAGCTCGAGAGCAGCCCCAGACAATACAGGAGCGGGCTGGGGGGCACGCTGATTTTAAGGCCCTTCCTTGAAGCTTCCAATGGACTCACCCTTGCTCCAATCCTTCCTACCCGCAGAGCTGGTGGCCAGCTCCGCAGCAATGCCAACACTGTCCTGCAGGTGGCGCCCGGCCACTGCCCACCACCCAGCCCCCGCGGGGAAGCCTGGGGAGGGGGCTGCTCGGGAGGATGGACAGCAAGATTGGGATCCCCACTGGACCCCCAAACGAGGACCTGCACACAAACACAGCCCGTGTCGGAGGCTTCCCCTGGCCCCGCCACCAAGGCAGCCCTGAGGACACAGCGCCATCCGCATCCTCAGGGCTCCTCTGCCTGGTAGTGGTAAGGCTGCCGGTGTGTGGCTCCAGCGTCCCAACACAGCGAAGCAACACAACGTATCGGACCCTGTGGTCAGAAGTACTGTTCTGTGAAGCTTCTGAAATTGTTTAAACACATGTATGTGTGGACCGGATCACAAAGAAGAAATAGGTCTTCCAGTGGCCATGGTGAGAAAACCGAGCCGATGGGGGACATGAGTCTATAAACAAAACTTTGCAGTCTGGGGAGGGAAGAAAGGAGGGCTGAGAATAAGCAGGATCCCTCTACACACACTCAGGAAGGGTATGGGTGCCAGGGAAGGCTGGTACATGGTTGGAGGCAGCTTTCCAGAGGAGGGGATGATTGGGGTCTTGAAGGCTGAGTAGGAGTTCGGCAGGCAGAGAAGGAGCAGAGGAACAGAATGAGTAAGTGTGAAGGGACAGGTCACGTACGAGAGCAATGGGACCTCCTCACAGAGCTAAGGAGGGGGCCTGTATGGGGTGTCCCAAGGGGGAGAGGGCTGGACAGGGGGCTGGAGAGGAAAACCACCACCCCAGGGCCGACTACGGAGCAGGGAGCTACTGCAGAAACCCAGCCTGCAAAGAAGGCTGCATTTTAGCCTCCTTTCCTCCCACCTTCTGCTGTCCCTCCACAGTCGCTCTGGACTTTTCAAAGCTCTCCTGCTCCTTCTGCATCCTGACCCTACCGGATCCTCCTCCCCAGAGGGGCGGGAGCAGAAAAGCCAGGACCGCACGAGCCACGAAACAGGGATGGGGTGCGGGGAACCTGGTAAGGTTAGGGTGCGGCGGGCTGGAGGGGCCTGGGGTTAGGTGTGCGGGGTGCCGTGGTTAGCGCTGGGGGGACATGGGGTTAGGGCTGGGGAGGCGGCAGGCGGGCAGCGCGGAGGGACAGACTGGCGGCCAGCCTGGAGGAGGGCAGCGTCCCGGCGCCGGGCGGGGAAGGGTGCCTGAGCGGCTGGCCTCCAGCCTCCGGGGCACAGAGAGCCCCGTCTACGAGGGAGCGACCCGGAACCCAGTGTCTCCGCGATCCTGACACCCAGCCGGGCTGAAACACTTTAACAAGTCCGCACTGACTCCTCATTGTCCCGGGAAGGGGCGACCCCAGGGCGCGGCGGCAGCAGTCGGCCGGCCCCCACCTCCCCGGTGCCCCACCCCCTCGGCCCCCACAGGCGGCGGCACCCCGCGGATCGCGGACACGTGAGGGCGCCGCGGCGCGTGCGCGGAGGGGCTGCCCGTGGTCCGCACGCGCAGGCCCACAACGTGCGCCTGCGCAAGGCAGACTGAGCTGCCGGCGGCGTACGCGGGACGAGGCGACGGGCGGCAGCGCTAAGGACCGCGCGCGCACGCAGGCACGTAAGCACGCACGCCCTGGGGAAGTGTCGAGTTCCGGCTGCTCCGAGTCGGCTCCGAGCCGGGGGGAAGGGAGGTGCTTTCCGTGTCGGCGCGGGCGGAGGGGCGGGAGGGAAGTCCTACGGCGGCCGCAGAGGGACGGCGCTACGGCTCCCACGCTGGGCCAAACGCTGCCGGCTGCCGGGCGCACGAGCCCCGGGCCCTTAGGGGCGGCCTCGGGCGGGGACGCGTGAGCGGCCGGGCCTCGCAGCCGCCGCGCCGTGGGCACCATGCGGCCGCCCTGCTCCTGGAGCCCCGTGTGCCGGGGGGGCCCGCAGGCCCGGCCGCCCGCACCGCCGGCCTCCCCCGGCGCCGGCGCGGAGAGGGCACCTGGTGAGCGGCGGGCGGGCCTGCCCCGGGGTGGCGGGCGGCCACCGTGTGCCCGGGCTCGCGGGTCCTTGCCGGTGCTCGCCTCCTGCCCGCCCCGGGAGCCCGCGGCGCGGACGCTGGGGGGCCGTGCGCGGCGGCGGCGGCGGCGGCGGCGGGCGCAGGGTGGGCGGGACGCGACGGCAGGGAGCCATGCGGGGTCCTGCAGACCTGGCCCGGAGGTGCGGGCCGGACCGAGGCAAGCGCGAGGAGCCGCTCAGAGCTGTCAGACCAGGTTCTGCCCGAGCCTGCCGGGAGGGCTGGACACGCCCGGCCTCCGCCCCCGCGACCCCGGGGTCCCCGTGGCACGCCCTTGGCCGAGGCCCGTGTGATGTGTCTCCAGAGCCCGTAATCCACTCGACTGCCCTGCTTTTACACATCCTGTACCTGCAGGGTTTCCCACCCACGAGTTATTTCTCTCACCAGAGAGCCACTGGGTGTTTCTCCTTTCCTGGCACCCAGTCTGTAGGCCTTTGATGGCATCTGCCTGCCAGGCGTGGTCACCAGCTTCCCCCAGCACCCGCGGGAGCCCAGCGCTGCGGGCGGCCCTGTTGGGCAGGGCAGGGATGGGAGGGTGAGCTAAGCTGCGGCAGGTTACTCCTAGGGAGCCACAGCGTCAGGGCCCAGGCTCAGCAGGTGACCCGGGACCCCGCTGTCTGGTCTGCAGCACTTGGCTCTTCAGGATGCTGAAGGGAACTCCTCCGTCTGTGTCCTGCGCCTTTGAAGTGTCCTCGAGTCGTGCTTGTGGCAGGAGCAGCCCTGGGGCACGTGAAGAAGGGGATTGGTTTCAGTGTGGCCCGGGGCTGGCTGATGTCCCAGAACGGGGGCACCTGCCACAGCTCCTCTTTCTCACTTTCCTGCAGGCTGCCGCATCCCCCAGGGCTCAGCTGCTGGCTTCCAGGCCTAGGTGCCCATGACGCCTATGCTGACCACTGCCTGGACACCACTGCTGCCCCAAGCTAGCACCACTGCCCGGGCCCCAATGCCGGTCATGCCCATCCCGCGGCGGGTGCGCTCCTTCCACGGCCCGCACACCACCTGCCTGCACGCAGCCTGCGGGCCGGCGCGCACCTCCCGCCTGGCGCGCACGAAGTACAACAACTTCGACGTGTACATCCGGGCGCGCTGGCTGTATGGCTTCATCCGCTTCCTGCTCTACTTCAGCTGCAGCCTCTTCACGGCCACGCTGTGGGGCGCGCTGGCCACGCTCTTCTGCCTGCAGTACCTGGGCGTGCGCGTCCTGCTGCGCTTCCAGCTGAAGCTGTCGGTGCTGCTTCTGCTGCTGGGTCGCCGGCGCGTGGATTTCCGCCTCCTCAACGAGTTGCTCATCTACGGCATCCGAGTGACTGTGCTGCTCGTGGGGGGCCTGGGCTGGTGCTTCATGGTCTTCGTGGACATGTGAGGGCCACCCGTGGGCCTGGGCTCCGGGGTTTGTTTATTGCGGCCCTGTTCTGTTCTTGAGGGAGTAGGTCGGGATTCTGCTCTTTCCAGCCCGTCTTGCGGATGGGTCTGCAGACCGTCCGCCTCCGGCCGTGGGTCCGGGCGCGGGCGCTGAGACTGTTCTGCGAAGGGGACGCTGGCGCCCCCTCTGCTGCTAGTTTTCTGCCCCGACCCTCCCTGTGTTCATGTAGGTACAGCGCCTCACTGGCCACCAGCCCTCACTTTTCCAGGCTGGCCAGCGGGAGGCCCATTGGCCCTGTCTGCTCTTGGAGAGCCTCTGTGTCCCTCCTCCTGGCCAGCCACACGGCCCCTGCCTCAGCCTTAGGGAAGTGTCAGGCTCACCTGGCTGATGGACCACACCGCGATGAAGCTGATCACTGCCCTGGGCCACCCAAGTCCTGGCACAGCTCACGGGCCCTCCATCTGCCCCCCTGAGTCCCAGGCCAGGCTTCAGGGCCATGTTGGTTTGCTTAGATGCAGTCCAGTGGGAGTCAAGGGCAGCCTTGGCAGGTTCTCAGATCAGGGGCCAGCCCGGGGTGCAAGGCAGATCTGTCTTCCTCTGGGGCAGGTTTGTTGAAAACGTCAAGCTGGATGCCATAGTCTCTTCAAGTGTGGATTTGTGAGGAGGCACCTTAACTCCTTTCCGGCTGGTGGGGGGGGAGTGGAGCTTTGGCCTCTCTTCCTTTGAGGGATGGCTAGAATTGAAACGTGTGTATTTGGGAGCTGACGTCAGAGGTCTTGAGGAGAAGCGCCACAGCCTCTGCGTGTGCGCCACGGAAACGTGAGCCAAGCTTCTGTTGAAGGAGCACCTCGTAGGGGTGTGCGTGTGCACCGGGGGGGGGCTGCCCGTGTTCCTGCCCTGGGGCTCTTGGAGCAGCTGCAGAGTGACAGGCAGAACTGAATGTGGGGCCGGAAAGAGCAAAGGGCCTGTTGGTCCAGCCGGGGGCCAGTGTGTTGCGCAGACCCTTTGCTTCTCTGTCGGAGGAGGAGAGGGTGGCCCGGTGGCTCAGTAGTCACCGTGGGTCTCCTCGGCAGGTGAGAAGCTGCTTTGAATAATTGTGCTGGGACAACAGGCATAGACCGGGGACAGGACACAGCCCCGTCCTGGGGGTGACAGACCCCCCACCTCACCCCAAGGTGTCCCCACCCCCACCCCCCGGGCACGGGCAGTGGCCCCTATGACCCCGCATGGCCAGGCAGTCCAGTGGCCAGGGGAGCTTTCAGAGGTTGGTGCCATGGGAAGAAGAACCCAAATCAGGTAGAGAAAGCAAAAAAAGCTTGGCTGTAAACCATGGTTTTTGATTTGTAGCCAGCTTCTATCCAGTGATTGTCGACTTGGGGACAGTGGGAAGACTCCTTGGATGAAGTTCTTTCTCGTGCTGAGTCTGTCCTAGTTCCTGGACGGCAGGTGGGGAGCTGACCTGCGTGGATCCCCCTCCTCAGCGCCACAGAGAATCTTTTGCACTAAATAATGCTGTTTCCTAAAAGTTTTGTTTTGTGTTAACTCAGATTCCCCCAAAGCTCCCGTCACTGAGGTGGACACCTGTCCACGCCGTCAGGATGGCAGGAGGGGTCTGGCCGTGCCACTTTGAACGTCGTTGCGGCCGTGTGAGGAACTGGCACGCTGAACACAAAGATGCTCGGTGTCTTGAGTGCCTGTTATATTCTTTATGAAATGAGCCACCTGCATTAAACTTATTTTTTTAACACGTTGATGAAGTGATTGCTTAAAGCTCAAAAACTTTATTCTTTCTCTAAGGGTTTAACCAACCAAAAATGCCATAGAAGGCGTCTGTCCCAGGTAAAATTGGGAACACTTTATTTTTTTTTTTTTAAGATTTTATTTATTTTGAGAGAGAGAGAGAGCACAAGCAGGGGGAGTGGCAGGCAGAGGAAAAAGCAGACTCCCCGCTGAGCAGGGAGCCCGATGCGGGCCTCGATCCCAGGACCCCGGGATCATGACCTGAGCGAAGGCAGATGCTTAACCAACTGAGCCACCCAGGTGCCCCCAAATCGGGAACGCTTTAAAGCAGGCACCCGTGACACCAGGGAAGGAGTGGATGTGCTGGGCTTCAGGGGGCGCACCTTGACCTTGCGGCCGGGGGCTCAGGATGGCAGGGACAGCATGGCCGTGCTGGCAGCGGGTCCTGGCGAGGTCCCCGGGGCCAGGAACTAGGTCACAGAACCAAGTGTACAGCCTGAGCTCCGTTTCAGGGGAAGATACGTGTGCGCGGAGAAGACACTGGCTGAAAACCAAAGTCGTGGTTCCTGTGGAACCGAATACACTTGTAGAAACGAGAGACACATTCTTACTTAGTATCTTTATTTTGTAAAGGTCTCCGAGCTCCCGTGCGGGGACACTCCTGGTCCTCGCTGCTGACGGCAATGCCCCTGCACGCTGCCACGCTGGCCAGAAAGTGCCACAGAAAGGCAGCCGGTCTGCCATTTCTCGGACTTTGTGGAGCTGGGTGTTTTCTCAGAAGAAAACAGTCCAAGTTGTTTTGGGGTTTAGCTTTTGGTGGCAGAGTTGATAAAGTCCCCAAAAGCGGCGGAGGCAGCTCAGGAGGTGCAGTTCGTGCCGCCAGGGGGGCACTGCCCGTTCTTGGGGCCGGGGTGGGCTCGGCGCACGTGCCTCTAGGCGTGGGTGGCAGTGGCCCAGCCGGCTGTCCCCGGGTGGTCCTCACCACGCCAGAGCCTTGAGGACGCCCGCCTCCCCGGCTGTTTCTTCTTTGAGGTGAGCACGAGCCCTCCTCCAGTGGGTGGGCCTCCTGCCAGCTCCCACCTCCGGGGCTGAAGTAACCCCGTGCCCCCCGTCTGCTGGTCCCCATCTTCGAAGACAACGTGCTGTGGGCCAAGCAGTGGGAGAGCAGGGGGGGATCTGAGGTTGCCGTCAGGACGCTGTCACCCAGAGAGGGGTCTTGGCCTCAGGGCATCACAAGGGGGCATTTCAGGCATTCTGCTGAAATGTCTTATTTAGAGCAGAGTATTTGCTCATTATGGGCTCACGTCGTCAGGAAAATGGAATGACCTACAGGCCTGGAGGCTTCCGTGTGCTGTGAGGAGGCAGGGGCTGGGGGTCTGGACAGGACAAAACCCGGCCTGAGCGCAGGTCCCAGGGCCGTGCTGGCAAATGCCAGGAGCTGGAGCTGGTTTAGGAAGCAGGATTCATCCTTACAAAGCCACCAGGCCCAAGTGGTTCCTGCTGCCTCCCTCCCCGCAAACGGCCCAGGCAGCCTTCAAGGCAGGGTCAGGGCAGGAAGTGACCTGGGACAGCTGGTGTGTCAGACCGAGGGAGCTGGGAGGGCAAGGAGGACCCCTGCTGCTCGTGCAGGACCCGAGGTGGGTGAAGATGGGCCCAAGGGGGACGGGAGGGAAAAAGAGGGAGGAGAGTACCTGGAAGGTTCTGCAGGTGGTGGCAAGTGCGTCCTTGACTTGGGGGGTGGGGGTGGGGGTGGGGAGCCGGGGGGGCGCTGGGAGGTCTCCCGGCCTGGCAGGAGGATGGTCCTGTCAGGGTCAGGGCTGGGTCAGAGGTCAGGGTCAAGACAGAAGGGGGCAGAGAGGGAGGGAGCGGGGGAGGAGGAAGGGGAGAAGTACGTCCCTTGAACAAAGAGGGGAGGCCCTGTGTCCCTGTGGGCAGAGCCAGGTGCTGGGGGGGGCAGGAGGAAAAGCCTCAGTGGCCACACCTATGCACTCTGAGGGCCCCCCACAGCCTGACCCCTCCGTGGCCAGCATGGAGGGTGTGAGGGGCTGTCCGTGGGGAGGGAAATCAGCCAGCAGGGGGGCGATGGCGAGGAGGGGTGGTGCTTTGGGAACTTCCAGAAATTAGATCTTTATCTGAGAAAGTCTGGCTGTGCAGGCCCCGGGCGGGGTGGACGCGGCATCTCAGAAGATGCCCTCTCTGGTCCTACGGGCACTTCTGGCCGCCCCCGAGGAGGTCACACCTCGACGGGCGGTCGGACCTCTGTGTCTTTCCCGGTCCCCCGTCCCCTCCCCCCGCAGTGGGGGCAGCCTGCCAAGGGGCCGTGGGGGAGGGGCACGCCCACCCCTGGACAATGGCTGGGCAGGTGCACCCCAGCTCTGACCAGAGGGTGACCCCCAGGGCTACTGCGGAGGACAGGGCGGTCTGCTGGGGCCGGCTGCTCAGATACTGATGGTCCCTGACCTTGAGAGGTCCCTGTGGCTTCCAGCCTGTGATTGGAGGAGGAAGCCGGCCGACGGCAGGCGCTCGGTGCTGATTCAGCCCTTTCTGGGCCTGAGCGAGCTTCCTTCCCTCTGCAGGGGCCAGTGCTTCTCCTTTCTCCCTCGCAGCTGCTGCTGGGAAAGGGCCTCGCTGGGCCAGCCCCTCTAGACGGCCAGCGCCCCGGTGCCCTCGAGGCTGGCCTGGCGCTCTGCACCAGGCTGCACCCAGGAGCCACTTTCCAGAAACCCCAGCAGTCTGGCCGCCTCCCTAACAGCTCCCAGAAGAGGGAGCGCCCCGCCTCACCAGCATCCTTGCCCAGAGAGGACAGGGAGGACAGGAGGAACGCTGATTCAGCGGCTCGTGGGCTGCGCCCCTCCCCCAGCCCCAGCGGGCAGCGTGCCCAGGCTTGCTGGCAGCTGTGTCACCCGGGGCCTCTCGCAGAGTGGCTGTGGCGCTCTCTGTGTGGCCGCCCCTGCGCTGGTGCCGGGGGGAGGGCCTGCAGGAGGGTGCGTGGTGTGCCCTATCCAAGAGAGGCCAGCACACCACTCCTGGCCACCAGCACAGGAGCCCAGGTCGGGCAGACCTCCTCCGCCTTTGGCCAGTTCAGCCATGTCACCTGCCTCCTTGACCTGGGACTGGACGCTGACCCTGAGCCCTGGGCTGGGGACGGGCTGCACTGGTGGAAGCAGCCTGGGCCAGAGCCGGGCGGGGCATGAGCCAGAACCTCCTAGGGCCCAGCGTGGGTTGGGTTGGCCTCTAACTGGTGGGAAAAGCCCAGAGTG